TATACCTCATAGAGATTAGAAAAGACTTCGCATTTTCTAATCTTTGGTTCATTTCCCAAGCTCCATCTCCATTGAAAGCTTCTCAACTCTGATTTTCTCTCACCATTTCAGTATATATTTAGTACTGAAGCAGGAACAAGACAGTCCAAAGCAAATTCTCTTAACTACTGTTTCTTGCACTTCTCAGTAATAAATATAGCATTTCAACTGATGGTCCATATTGTTTAAATTTCTTTTGTTTGTATTCTCTTGGTAGAAAAACATTGGGTCCATTCCTGATAAGGAATATTACTGTTTGAGGTCTATAACCAGCATCCTTCAAATGAAGGATCATTTATGTTACGTTAAAGAAGCCCTTTACTGGATATTGACAGTTTCTCCAGTGTCTTCTACTAGTCTTCCATTTCTGGGGAAATTCTTCTATCAAGGTATGATTATGCTATTCTAGCATTATGACAAATCCCTGGATTTGACATTTTTCAATGAGCATTTAGTCCTAGGCTTGGTATAGATATTTTCTCAGCTCCATAGCTGTCCTGAGGGAGATGGTTTAATCAGTGGTGTAAACACAGAAAAAATACATTTGTTACCACAGGTGATACAGTTACAGTCTTTGCACTTTGCTATTTTAGTAAGTCTTGATACATAGAGAGTAGTTTGTCTGAGATTAACGTTTGTTTTTGAAAGTCAGCATTCACTGGTCCCATCCCATTCCCCATCAGAGAATTAGATACCTAAATATTGTCTCATATGCTCTGAGTAAATTTTGAGAACTCAGGTTGAAGCTCAGAGAAATGTTCATTCATGTTGTCCATTGCAGACAAGGTCACTTTTGTCATCTGAGTATGAGACAAGCACATTCCCAAGGAATAAAGACATAATATTAGATGTCCATCATAGGATAGTTCTTCTATGCTTCAGGCAAGGACACTTCCAAAGAAGAAATAAAACAATTAAACATCCATCACACAACAAGGACCTGCCTCAGGAGGAAGCCAGTCTTGTTCTCAACGTCTTCCTAGAACCAGGTACAGTCAAAATGAGATAAGGTGTCCACACCTGCCCCAGGACCAAAGGAAAACAGCATGACAACTGGTACAGTGAGAAACCCTTGAAACCAGGCATTTAACTGAAGCCTCCTCAGAGTCACTGCACTAAAATAAAGTTACGGCACATCCAGTTTTATTTTCTGAATATACCTCAGAACTGGATCCTTTTCTACAACCAGTCACTTGAATGTAAAACTTACCTGTTCTCCTTTCTCACTGCCATCTCTTGATTTCAGCGTGTAAGTGTCACTGCTGATCACTGCTGCCAACATTCTCACCACCACCTTTAAAATATTCCTACAGCTGTAGTCTCTAATCTTATACGTGAAGGCCTTGTTTCCAATATGAAAAAGGTATGTTTTTTAAATGACCTAATTAATTCAAGTTAACTAAACAGAGGTAAAATCCCAGTGAAGACAAGGCAGTTGTAATTTTTATATGAGTTAGCATGTCCAGTAAAAGCCTCTGGGGGAACCTAGGGTTTATCTCCACCTGCTAACTCATGGAAATTATGAACTGCCTTGGCTTCATGAGCATCTTACCTTGTGTTCGTTAACTCAGGTTGCTTGTCTGTAGTGAAGAGAAGATCTAATTTTAGTACCTCCATTTGCAGCATTTCCTGAAAGGCCATCCACTCTGTCTGCCTCTGATGCAGATTCCTCCTTAACAGCATCTTTCTTTGTTAAAGGAAAGTCATTTTTCAATTAAAGCTGGTATGACTATCCTCTGATGAGATTTTCTGCTGAAATTTTAACTTACTATAACATGCAAGTACTATACAAAAAATTCCTTTTTTCAAACAGCTCTTGTTTAAATCAGATTTATCACATCTCAACTCTAATGTCCCTACTTACTTCATGAACGGTCTTTAAGGAAGGCGAAAAAAATCATTCCAAAGACCATGGGGCAAAGAGCTACTCTGGAATTAGATGTTGAAAAAATATTGACATAGCTGAAAACTGCTCTGCCACAACAACAACATACTATATCTCAGATTACAATTTTCAATGCATTTAAGTGACCCAGGAGCCTAAATTCCATTTTCAAAAAGTGACTTAGACAAATAGAAGCTTAAGTGCTACTGATATTTAATAAGTCCTCAAAAGTCCTAAGAGTCAGGCCCTCAAGAGAGTGTGCCTTAAAAATCTTGAGACTCTAAAAGATAATCAAGTTTGGGTACTTTTTATTTACCTTAAAGCAGTGGCATAGCTAGCATGGGACATTTGGGTGGGCCCTGACTTCGGGTGGGTGGGCAGGAGGGATTGGGGAGCCCGTCTTCGCCCTCCCCCTCCAGCCGCCTTGCGGGGGGGGAGGGGTGATGGAAAGTCTGACTAGGGACCCCTGAAGGTCCCATGTGCACACCCAGCTCCAGGAGGAGACGCTGCTCTCTAACATGCACAGCTCACGGAACCCACCCCCGCCATACCGCCCCACGCTGGGGTCGGCTCCCTGAGGTGGCAGGCCTAGGTTTTTTGGTGATTGCTGCTGCCCTCCTCCTGTTGCAGCGTGCATGCATGTCCGCTCATCAGACTCTCCGCTGCTGTGCTGCTGCTGTCTCTCCTCCTCCCATTGGGCTGGGAGTGTATACACCTGGCGTGTGGTGTCCTCAAGGTCTGGGCGGGGCTAGCGCTGGGGCCAGAGCAAAGCCGGGGATGGGCCTGGATGCTAAGTGGGTGGGCCACAGCCCACCTGTAGCTATGTCCCTGCCTTAAAGGTCCACTTTAGGATACACTTAAGTCATATTTTCTAGCTATTCCCTGTAACTATAATTTAAATCAAATATAAGTACTTACTTACCTGTAATTTTTTCTTCTCTGAAGTAGGCACCTGGAGCACCATATCCATTACACCTAGGATATTCCTCCTTTAGCTTCAAAGCACAGAAGCTCTTAAGAAAAAACAAAAAACACACTGCTTTAGCTTCACAATATACTGCCAACAGGTGGAGCTGTTTGAAAACTGATTGTCTTCTCATCTTGGGCAGTTGGCTGTGAAGAGGCAAATAAATTCTAATTTATTAACCTTAAAAAAGACAAACCGTCCCTAGGCATGATACTTGATGTCCATGTTTATAGCACAGAAATGGCAACGAAGACTTTCAGCAAATTCACGTGCCAAATATGAGGGAATACCAAAGTTTCTCCATCTCTCTGTAGGGGGGGGGAAAGGAAGGATTCAGACATTTCTCTTCCACGTGGAATTTTATGCAAAATTTGTGGTGAGGGAAGGGTTCTTCACAAAGCAGCAGTTATCATCCTAGCTTCCTGCTCCAGGAGCAAGAGAATCACTTGCTTCATTCAGGATTTTTAACTTCCACTGTATTATTCTAGCCTGGAAGTGCTAGTAGACAATGGACATTCTATTGCTACTTTTCACATGAATAGCAACCAAATCCAGAGAGAACATAAGAATGGCCATGGGTCAGACCAATGGGATCCACTTAGCCAAATATCTTGTTGACTGACAGTGGCCAATGCCAGATGCTTCGGAGGGAATGAACAGAATAGACCAATTATCAAGTGATTGATCGCCTCTCATCCAGTCCCCTGTTTCTAGTATTATGTGAAAAGGTAAATAACATTTCCTTGTTCACTTTCTCTACATCATTCATGATTTTATGGACCTCTATCATATCCCCATTCCCTCAGTCATCTTTTCTAAACTGACAGGTCCCAGTCTTTTTAATCTCGCCTCGTATGAAATCTGTTCCATACCTCTAATCATGTTGGTTATCCTTCTCTGTAGCTTTTCCAATTCTAATGTAATCCTTCTTCCAGGTGGAAATGGCAGCCACAAGTGTTGGGTTCAATATCTAGGGGTTCCTCTTAACAATACAAAACAGAATCAGCTCAAGTCCCCACTCAGTAATCTGGGAAAACTAACCGTCACCCCTAGGTGCCTCTAAGAGGCAATACTTCCCCACTCACAAGCACTGAGCAAACACTCACCTCACAGTACACTGGGCAGTATCCTTTGCCTCAGCTTCCCACCTTGTGGTGTGAGTCCAACAAACAAGTGTCCTTTAACATGCCACTCCCCTTACCCTCTGCTGCACCCCACACACAGTGGGGCTGTCCCTAGTCAGCAAAGACCCAGAGTTCAGAGGTGCATTTACATGGGTCCACCTCCAACCCCTGAAAGGTGGGCGGGGCGGGGGGCATGCAATGTCTTGGCTGCTAGTGCCACCTCTACAATTGGCTTGCTACAGCTGCTGCTATCTCTGCTGCTGCTGGGCACTCACTGCCACCTTTGCTGCTGTTGACCACTTGCAGCCTTCTCTCCTACTCATCCCTGCTGCCGGCTACTTCTGCAATGCCACTTTCTGAGTTCCCCCACTTAGCCCAGCTCTTATCAATTTCAGTGGGAAGTGGGAAGTGGGAACTCTGTGTTACTGCCTCTGTTGTCTTTCACTGCACACTGTCCCCATACTAGATCTAAAGCTTAACCCCTAGACTAGCACATCAGTGATTTCACCTCTAGCAATCACTGAATGGAAACAAGGACTCTCAATTGAATCCAATCAGCTCTAGGACTCTGTAGGCAGAGCCCACAGCATCAGATAGTCCCCACCCCCTCATCTTCAGTGGGATCCCTACCCGTGCTTAGCAAGTGAGGCTCAGTTTATGGTGAACCCCTCAGTCCAGGCAGGTTAAGTTCCGCTGCCCTTTACTCATACACAATGAGAACAACAACAGTTTTGTGATATCTCTTTCCAACTTTGCCACCTCTCTTTATGCCCCCTGTAAGAGGGTCCGGACTCACCCCTGCGGCGCCTCCTGATGGTCATCCAGGGAATTAGCTCACCAGCCTCTGGAGTGCCCTCTGCAGGCCAGTGATCCGCCTTGTCCTCTGCACTGGCCCCCCATGTCCCTCCCAGGACCCCAGTGCCCCTTGCTCTGGGTGCTGCCCCCTGGCAATACCCATACATATGCTAGGTCTCCCCTCCCAGGGGAACCCCCACCCACTAACCCCACCTCACCTCAGGATAAGGCCACTGCCAGTCACCAGCTAGCCCCCACTCTCTGGGGCAGACTGCAGTATAGGTCACTCATCATCGGCAAGGCTTGGGTTTGGACCTGCTGCCTTGGTCTAGCCCTGGGCTGCCCTCTGCAACTCCCAGTACCCCTTGGCCTATTACTAGGCCACAGCCTGGGGCTCTCCAGGCTGGAGTTCCCC